TTTAGCACTTGAACGGATCAACTTTGTGAAGAAACCCCCAACACAGGTTCAAGGAAGTGAGAGCTTGCCGGACAAACCTATTTGAGTTTATAAGTTTGTACAACAAATCTTTTTTAATTCATTTTAATCTAATAACCTAAATGGGAATGACTAGAACAGCTTCAAAATGGGTAGACTGCTCTGCTTCTTTACAAGTAGGAGACGAAGGATAAGAGATAAACCTGAATGGAGAAATTACACAAGTAACAAAAATATTTATGCTTGGTCTGTGTTATTCATAAAGTATACTATAGATGAAGAACTCGACTGCGTTGGGTTGCTTGGTAGATGATTCAGATTTGACGAGGAGAATCAGGACAACCTAGTTCTGTACTCCGTTGTTCAGTTCAGGTACTAGAGAAAGACATTACGTGTGGTCAGAGGTTCAGGGAGTTGCTACAAGACTGGTCCAAGAGCTAAGAAGGATAAAGTATGCGGAAAACTGTGACATAATCTAACTCTAATGCGGTAAAAGAGATGGGAGATGAGTGACATGATTGAGATGTGCAAGATTCTCATGGGGAACTGGCTAGGGAAATAGGGGAGATATATAGAAGCTGAACAGCAACAGGACGAGAGAACATGGCGGAACATAAGAGAAGAGTCTCTGGAATGTAAGAAAACACTTCTTCAGTGCTAGAGAGTGGTGAACAGTGAAATTAATATGACGGGAAGATATCTAATACAAACCTCATATGCATTTTAAAAACTAGATACGATAACTGATGGCCAATTGTCATTCAATCAGAGGGCTAGAAATACTCAACAGTTGAGGCCCCTGGACCTCTCACTTGACCCAGACGCATATCCCAGAAAGTGCACTCTGGCTCTTACTACTCATAACGTAGAGTAGCATAATGAGAGAGTGAAGCCCCGGACCTGAGCTCACAACTTCGACACGCATTAGCAGTTTACACACACAATGACCCCCAGAGTTCAGACGTAGACTGGATCGTTTCCTTACATATCTCAGAAGGTGGACAACATCACATTTCACTGGTTTTCTTACTCCTTATCTTGGTCTAATTTTAAGGATAATGTATATCCATGCTCCTATGTTAACCTTTCTAATGAAGATTATATGCAAGATATTTGAACAAGATGTGCATAAACTTCCTTAATTTTATATACACAGAAACACAACAAACATGGTAGTGTGATGCAGTGTTGTGTGCATAATTGTGTCAGGCCACACACACACATACACACGCACACACACACACGCACACACACACACACACACACACACACACACACACACACACACACACACACACACACACACACACACACGCACAGAATACAGGATAAAAAAGATCCCTCTGAACTAAGATTTTGCTGCCGACATATTTCTCTCCAGGGGGAATTTTACCGGTAGGGGGTGTGGTAGCCACCCAGGCGCAGGCGGGGACACTCAGCAGGCGGGGACACTCAGTAGGCGGGGACACTCAGCAGGCGGGGACACTCAGCAGGCGGGGACACTCAGCAGGCGGGGACACTCAGCAGGCGGGGACACTCAGCAGGCGGGGACACTCAGCAGCGGGGACACTCAGCTGCGCCACCAGCCCCTGAGTAGCCCCAATAAATAATGGAGATCCAGAGCCTTGTGAAGTATTCAGGTAATTCTCGCCCAACACCCAAAGCACACCCCAGTTACTGGAATTGGTCAGGACTTCTCTCGGAACTGCCACCTTTATCCTGTAATTCGTGTTTAAGGCTACTGTGATAAAGACAAGATTGGCTGTTTATGTCGTCTACAATGACATAATGGTGGGGTGTGTATACAATTATTTTTATTATATTTTTTTTTATCTTGCACCTCTTGCGTTAGCTTTCCTTTTCATTGTTGTCTCGTTCCTTCTTCATTTGTTCTTTCTTTCGTATTTCATCAACCTCTCTCTCTCTCTCTCTTCCATGTTTTTGTCTCGCCTTGTCATTATCTCTCATAATTTTATGTATTTCATCGACTCATCATCTGTACTTAATTTTTCCAGTCGTCTTTTATAATTTACCTGTTTTTATTTGTGTTTAGGACTGGACTTTTTAGTCTAACAACCTCAGGAAGGTATTTTGAGGCCACCACAATAGCTTACTGACCAACCAGCAAGAACACTTCAGTAATGAACTTACTTCAGGACTAAAGTAAACTCTTAGTGTATATATACACTGAAGTGGATGTTAAACCTCTTAGCTCAGTCGATTAAGGCAGCGTCTGGGATGCTTTCGGACGCAGGTTCGAATCCTCGTCACGGCCCTTGTGCATTTTATCCCTTGATACACTATTTATGTACTGAATCTTTTCATTTCTAATGCCTGCTGATTTTACAGCTTTCAGGGGCATAGAAGGGCTCTTCCTAATATTGTAAATTTGTAATGAACGAAGATGCTCTAAGAACATTTGTAGTTTGCCTTGTAAAAGGCTGTAAAATATACTGTGCTGTTGGGAAATAATTATTTTACAGTATATGTTCTTATTACAACATCAGTATTTATGGCGCTTAATATTTTAAGTTGAGTCTTCCACACAGTAACGAGTCATTTCGTCCAAGAGGGGAGGAATAATATGGGGTGGGGACATGATAATGACATATAAGGTTTTAACGATAATTTGCAAAGTAAACAAAGGAATGTTAAAAACATAGAACAGCATAGCGAGGTATCATAGATTGAAATTATAGATTGAGGTATGATACCAGCATAACGAAGTATCATAGAGACGTTTCTGAGTAACTAAGATAGAAAAAAAACTTCTTCAGTGTTAGAAATTCAAAGATGTTTGATACGATGAGGGGAATAATTTATTAAAACTATTTCAACACATAATTTAAAATTTAAACACGATAAAAACTAGAGAACAGAATCATTGCGCTTAATTGTATGATATTAAAAAAAACTATTTTCTTATTTATGTCGTATATCGTATGACAGCAAAAATATATCTAAGTTATTAAGCGTAAAAATCATATTTGATCTAACCAAGCACAAATATGATTTCTTTAGATTTATGTCATTTGCTGAGAGAATCGTTGAATTTGTCTTATTGGCAATAGAGCCATTTAAATATACCGTACAACATATTTACCCCCAACACAGAAGAGATAATTGAAGAATAATTATTATCAGATAGAGAAAACTATTTTACGTAAGGCGTGGCTGAAAAGAGAAATCATTCTTATTCCCTGGTTGAAGGGGCCATAGCAAGGTGGGGGGGGGTGGGGGTAAGAGGGGGGGGGGGCAGGAGGAGCCTGACGCAGCCGAAGCCGTATTTGGTATTCATGAAAGGCACTTGATTCCGACGCACGTCCCTACCCCTCACGCCTTCAGTGAAAACTAACGCTGATTCTCCTCGTGTTCACAATATATAGACGATAATACAATTGTGCAAACAAATATATATATATATATATATATATATATATATATAATCCCCACCAGTGGGCCTCGAACCCAGAAAGCACAACTACCTTCTAGTAGCTGCCATAACTAGTACGCCTTAACCCACTACACCATCAGACCCTACAAAAGAAGTAGAGACTTCGAGATATATATACACCTCAAATATCTCCACTTCCCGAGGGCACTAGACAAGTGAGAGGTTACTCTGCGTTTTTCATCAAGCCCCTGTTAATGTGAGAGAACTCATGTCCATGCTATAAGCCTATACTTGCATAAACCACAAGTGAAGATTAACAATCTTTGGACAACACCCACCAGTGGGCCTCGAACCCAGAAAGCACAACTACCTTCCAGTAGCTGCCATAACTAGTACGCCTTAACCCACTACACCTATGGCAGCTACAGGAAGGTAGTTGTGTTTTCTGGGTTCGAGGCCCACTGGTGGGTGTTGTCCAAAGATTGTTAATCTTCACTTGTGGTTTATGCAAGTATAGGCATATATATATATATATATATATATATATATATATATATATATATATATATATATATATATATATATATATATATATATAATATAATATTATTTATTTATTATTATTAAAGAAATGTATAGACAACAAACATTTATTATAGAAGAGACAACCTCACCTGGAAAGGTACCAGTTTAGGATGGCCCAAAGGTGATCTCTCGAAACTCGTAATGTTGCTAAAGGTCATTACTGTTGGGAGGGGGAAGTGGGAGGAGGGAAGGGGAGGGGGGGGGACAGTAGGAACGTGATTAGGAGCGTAACTGTGGGATTGGTTCGATTTTTCTCTCTGTGAGATCGAGATTTGTATAAGGGAATCTATAAGGCGATTATGTGGAGTAGGTGTTGGGGTGGAGAAGGTGGAATGGGTGTTGGGAAGGCGGTGTGGATGGTAAGGAAGTAGATGTTATGTATAAGGTGGATGGTGGCATTGTGAAGAGGGTGGCAGGCGAGCGGGTAGAAAGGGTTTAAGAGGTGATATATGGATCATAACAAGGGCTATAGTCAACATGTGTTCGACTGGGAGATTCGAGATGAAATGAGAAACGTAGTTATGAGGGGCATGATCGGTGTTGAGGTGTGAGGGGGAGGAGAAGAAATGGAGTGTTGAGGTATGAGGAGGGAGGAGGGAAGTAGAAGGGATGGACGGGTATTGAGGTGTAGGAGAGGAATGGGTGGGTGGGAGGGTGTATTTTGAAGTGTGAGGGAAGGTTAAGGGGGACGGTGCTTGATGCTTTCGATGGATGTGCGATTAATGTGAGATCAACTTTTCCAGACATTTGGACGGAAACTTCCGGGATCTTGGAATGGTTAGTTTTGTTCGTCAGCTTATAATAACAAATTTCAGAGTTACTCACTTAACTTGTTACACCGTCAAAAATAATTTATTGCAATGTGTGTGTGTGTATATATATATATATATATATATATATATATATATATATAAATATATATTCGCTTGTTTATGTATTTACCCGGTGTATGTGGAAATACATGCGCTGGTAAATGTGTATAGAACTGAGAACATCGTCAGAAATATCGATGCTATTTTATGATCAAGCAACGTAATCCTCAGTGGATGCCCACACACACACACACACACACACACACACACACACACACACACACACACACACACACACACACACACACACACACACACACACACACACACACACACACGAGGCTCTGCTATTCCTGTCATTTGCCACCATGGCATTACCAAGTGCCTCCACTTTCCTCCCCCCACTACGCTCCCCTCCTCTGCTTCCTTATTGCTCTCTCCCCACTGCCTCTCCACCACTCCATTTCCATTCTCACTACGTTCCCATTGGCTCATTACCTCATTATTACCCGCATTGCTCTCATTACTTCTTCATTGCCCCTACCTCTTACTCATTACCCCCACCCCCCCCCAACTTCCTCCACATTAACCCTTACTTTATCACCTCCTGCCTACTCATTGCCCCTTATCTCAAATCACCTCCCTCCTCCCTTCTTCACTATTTTCCTATTTATCTTCTTTCTTGTAGTGATTTGCATTAGCGAAATCCTCTCATTCTGTTCTCCACTTCCTGCCTCCTTTTCAAACTCACTTTTCCTCTGGCTCTTTTGTGTTCGCCTTTCTTAACAGCTTTCACCTTTATTCTTTGTCCCTTTTTCTCTGCTTCAGTACCCTTCCACTTTCATCATTTTTCTTTACTCTTTATCATTTACTGTTTTAATTAATTATTAATTTACCTTCTCTTCCTTCATCCTTATGCATTGTTTGTCCTACTTTTTGACATCTCGCCCCCTAATCTTACTTCCTGACCCCTCTAAGGAAAGGTGACATCATGTTCCTGATCATGCTCCTTGACCTCCAAGGGAAGATGGCATCTTGCTCCAAACCTTAGCACCTGGCCTTCCAGGGAAAGGTGATTAAGTCGGGCGTGATCTGCTGTCTAATCATTTTCGTTTTAAAGCAAGATATTGCTCAATAAATAAAAAGATTAAATCTATATTATTTTTTACTTTGTCATGGAAGGGATCTTTAAGATTTCATAATTCATTTGATATGTATTGAAAATAAACATGTTATCTATTTTTTTTCTGTTGTTGGTTTGTAGTTTTATTGTAGTCTACACCTTATAGGTCCGTGTCCGTAGATTAATTCCTTTTGGTGTAGTGTTTCTGGGATGGGTTTGCAGCCCCGTCCGTCTCTCACCTGTAATGGAATGGGTTCATGGAACCTCCGAAGTCAACCCTTCTCTTCCATTAATGATTGCTATAGTCTCTCTCTCTCTCATCTGTTTATCTATTTTATCTATTATTACCGATTACATTAAGGCTTCCTCGTATTTCACACATCATTAAACTGCCGTACGTCTAGCCATCTGTTCATATCTCCTCCAACAATCCCTGCATCCCTCCCACATCCACTCCCTCATTTAGTCCCTTCAAAGGCTCATCTCCCTCAATAAATCTATCCTCCTCAGTTTAATCATATACCCTTTTAATCTCCACCTTCTCTCTTCCCACACTTACTCTCCCTCGCCCGTCCCATTCTTCTCCTTCCTTCCTTCCTTTCCCTTTTCCCTCACGCACTATCCCAGCCCGTGGGCTTTGCGGTCGTTTGATCTAATTGGAAAATCAATCACACAGACATTAAGACATATGACATTGATTTTTTTCCAGATATTAAGCCTTAGGATGATTACGAAGTCTATTTGAGACGTTCCAACCTTCGGTGGGAATTTATTTAATCTATTTTTATAATATTAAACGTTCATTCGTAGAAATTTTTAATTGATTTAGTGTTTAAGAGTTAAGGATAATGCTCTTGAAATAGACCCAAGCTAGCCTATCAACCTTGATTATTACATAGTAACATACTTGTGCTGTTCGACAGCGAAATATATTATATTATCATTATTAGCGGTATATTTATAATGAACCTTACTGAATTTATACAGTGGCCCCTCAGTAGTTAATGACTAATTGGCACGCAGTCTGGAAAACATTAATGACCACTCATTTTTTAAATAAAAGCCTCAGGTACAGTTAATAAAAGTACCATCTGATTCTCGGAATAAGGGGTTGGTTGGGCCTTTTAAAGTCGAATGTTTGTCGGTGCTGGCGTGGTTGAGGTTAGCGTTGTTTGCTGATGCTGACGGTGTTTGCGTTAGTGATGCTGAGGACGCTGGCGTTGTTGGTGATGCTGAGGACGCTGGCGTTGTTAGTGATGCTGAGGACGCTGGCGTTGTTAGTGATGCTGAGGACGCTGGCGTTGTTAGTGATGCTGAGGACGCTGGCGTTGTTGGTGATGCTGAGGACGCTGGCGTTGTTGGTGATGCTGAGGACGCTGGCGTTGTTGGTGATGCTGAGGACGCTGGCGTTGTTAGTGATGCTGAGGACGCTGGCGTTGTTAGTGATGCTGAGGACGCTGGCGTTGTTAGTGATGCTGAGGACGCTGGCGTTGTTAGTGATGCTGAGGACGCTGGCGTTGTTAGTGATGCTGAGGACGCTGGCGTTGTTGGTGATGCTGAGGACGTTGGCGTTGTTAGTGATTCTGAGGACGCTGGCGTTGTTAGTGATGCTGAGGACGCTGGCGTTGTTCGTGATGCTGAGGACGCTGGCGTTGTTAGTGATGCTGAGGACGCTGGCGTTGTTGGTGATGCTGAGGACGCTGGCGTTGTTGGTGATGCTGAGGACGCTGGCGTTGTTGGTGATGCTGAGGACGCTGGCGTTGTTAGTGATGCTGAGGAAGCTGGCGTTGTTGGTGATGCTGAGGACGCTGGCGTTGTTAGTGATGCTGAGGACGCTGGCGTTGTTGGTGATGCTGAGGACGTTGGCGTTGTTAGTGATGCTGAGGACGTTGGCGTTGTTAGTGATGCTGAGGACGCTGGCGTTGTTGGTGATGCTGAGGACGTTGGCGTTGTTAGTGATGCTGAGGACGCTGGCGTTGTTGGTGATGCTGAGGACGTTGGCGTTGTTAGTGATGCTGAGGACGTTGGCGTTGTTAGTGATGCTGAGGACGTTGGCGTTGTTAGTGATGCTGAGGACGCTGGCGTTGTCGTCTGGTAATTTTTAAAGTTGTACTTCGAACACTGTGAATTTCCTCACTAGGAGGAAAGTGAGGATGAATGAAAGGAAATAGAGAAAAAGAGAAGAAAGACAAGGAAAAAGAGGAGTAATAACAATAATAATAGGGTGAAGAAAAAGAGGGGAAGACAAAGTTGTGAAGGACACGAAGGTGGAGGTGATGGAGGAGGTAATAAGCTGAACCTTGACCTTCCAGAATAATTCTTTCTCCCTCGTCGCTGTTACCAATCTTCTTGTTGCATTTTGTCTGGGGGGTTCCATTTTGGAATAATAATTTCTTAAAATTGTTGTTGTTTTTTTGATCTTGCATCATCGGTGCTCTTTTTTCCCTCACATGTAGAAGTTTGGGGGAGGAGGAAGAGCTGACCATTGTCGAAACTTGTATATATATTAGATTTTGTTGTCCACCAAGATCTCGCCCTCGATCTGGTGTTGTCTTGTTCACTTGGAGCCTTGCGGCCTGTCTCGCAAAGCCTTGCAGTCTCGTAGAGCCTCTCGCAATCTCGTAGAGTTTCTTGAGCTCTTAGAACCATACCTCTGTTTCCCTGTAGCCTCCTTCAGTCTCGTTCACTTTCTCAGAGTCTCATCCCACTTCGCAGACCCTCTGTGTAGTTCCATCTCTTTGTTAACTTCGGTGTTGTATCTCTTTCTAACCCTCGCCTTGAATACCCACCAATTTGTACCAATTTGTATCTGTACTTTTTTGTACCACCAAAAAAGTTTACTTTTGTATTACTGAATTTGGCCAAATGGGAAGCTTTTTTTTGTTAACGGCAACATAAATATACGACCTGTCCTAACCTCTCCTACGAATCCTGGGCCTAACACACGTTATATGAGATCTAATATAGTACATATATGTGTGCTATACTAGGCCTAGGAATGCTTGATTTTAGTTTATTCCGGACTATAAAATTACAGTACAAAAAAAATCATTATTGTTGGTCCATCACTACATATTGGTACTCTCGACCAGAAGGTTACTGTAAGTACCAGTACTGTCATTTCAGGAGGATGAGTTGCTTGCAATTTATATTTTTAACATATTTTTTGAACCATTTTGGAACCATTTTCATATTTTTCTGAAATTGGTCACACAGGAGTAGATAACATGGATGATAATTAATAAATGTTAAAAAGTGACCATAAACAGAACAAATACGGCAAAGTAAGATATACGAAGAAAAAAGTAAAGAAAAGAATAAGGAAAAAAGACAGGAGCGGAAGCAAAGAAGGGAAAAGGAATGAGATAACTTAGATAAAGAATAGCGAGAAAGTAAAATAGTGAAACTAGTAGAAGATCATCTGGAAATCGAAGACAAGGGAAGGCAAAAAAAATGGATACAAGTGTCATAGAGCAGAGGTAGAGGCGGCGGGCAGGAGGCCAAGGAAGCAGGAAGATGTCTGCGTACTTCTAGCGCTCCTTTAAAGACGGCCACCGGCTTATTGGCCTGAATTATACGCCCTTAAAGAGCAAGGACCACAGTGAAAGGCATTTTGACACAGAGGTTCTCATTATCGGGCGGGTGTGGGCGCTCGGGTGCCACCCCCGAGGGCTTTTGGGGAGAGAACTCCGACCCGGGGGAGTGGTACCAGGGTGCCACCCCCGTCATCCTGGAAGTTAAAGGGTTCGAGGACACGGTATCACCCCACGAAAGTTATTGGTTAGGAGAAGGGTCAGGATTAATAGCTGACGCTGGGTCCGGTAAGCATACTTAAGCGGAATTGTGTTGGTGAGTTCACGAATATCAAAATCAATTGATTACAAAATGTGGAGCATATGTTTGAGTCTGGCAGCTGCTGCAGGTGGCTGTGCCAAGGGTTGGGAACATTTAAAGGATATGGTAACAATGACAGAGAAACGAGAATTTATAACAAAAAATTTACGAAAATAAAGAAAATTGGACGATTCATAACAAGGGCTTTTTGGGAGATAAAACAAAAATAGGTGAAATATATAGAAAGGAGTAATAATATTTGTAATAATTAGGAGATGTAGGGAGCTAATGAAAGTAACATTAAGGAAAGTGAGTGATGATGATGGACTGTAAGAGTTGAGTGTTGATGCTGAACTGTGAGACAAGAGATGATAATGATGATGCTCAACTGTGACAAGAAAGGATAGTGATGATGCTGGACTGCGCATGCAGTGTGAGGGATGCTGCATTACACGGAGATGTTGGGGAGAGTAATTGATTGACAGTGTTAAATGATTGAGGGGTAGACCTGTCTGTTTGGCTCCCACCATGCTCAATCTTCACCACCTTACTCTCTCTTAGCCCGAACCTCTCATCATCTCTGCATGTCTACTCTCTCTCTCCATTAAATAAGTTGTCTCTGTCTCCCCTCTACCTCCCTGCCTTTACTCCAAACTTCTCTCTGCATTGTTACTCTATTCTTTCCTCCCCCCTCTAATCTTTGTCCTGTCTTTCTTATCATTTTACCTCTACTCTTATCCCGTCTCTAATATTCGCTACCTGTTAACTCTTCAAATCTCAACTATTCCCCCCCGTCTCCCCCCCCCCCCTCCACCACTTTACTGTTATGGGTAACAATTACCTTTATCTTTCCTTCTCCCCATTTTTATCACTCGTTTCCTCTCCTCTCTACGTTATTCCCCTCACCTACTCTAACCCTATCTCCTCCTGCTATCCCCTCTCCCTCTCCCTCTTCTACTGTCCCTACACCCCCTTCTACACCCCCTCTATAGATTGGTTCTGCGTGATGGGGCAAGCTCTTCCTTGCTCTACATAATGTGCCCTCACTTTGGTACGCCAATATTGGTTCTAGCCGCACTAATTGGGCATGATGGCTTCCAAAATGCAAATTCAGTGGCTTTCAAATCCCCAGCGTCTGCTAGGCTGATTGGGACTTAATTACGCTGTTGTTTATTGCATTTTTTGATGTTGTTTTGCTTTGGAAGAAATGATTATTTTTTGACGGTTCATTAACAATAGGGATTACGTTTTGCTGTTGATTGTCGAGTAGAAACTTGTGTTTTAATTGGTCATTCAGGGCTGGAGCGATTTTTAGACCTTATTGCCAAAAGTATTTTTTTCCCCCAATTTATATAACATATATTTTGTTAATATCATAAAAAAATTGTAATATGCAGTTTAAATATTTCTTAAACACCAGTTTCTTTCGACACAAATTTTAACCTATAATAACGTACATGAAATAAACATGCAAATATTTTTTAGGCAATGTTGTAAAATGCTGATAATTCCGATGATATTTATTTATTTATATTTTTTTAATATCCTTCTCTTTTATATAGAACAAGCTCGTTTATAAGGGATTTTGTTGATTATTTATTGGTACTACGGGCTCACCATAGCCCGTGCTACTTGGAACTTTGTTCCAGATAGCGAATCTTTAACAACAACAACAACATTTATTGGTGTTACGAGCTGACGAGTTGCTGTCAGACGTACCCCATTCTAACGACTACACCAGCGATTAATTTAGAGTGGGTTTGCCTAACCCAAATCGTTCGAACCTAACCTATGGCGGCCGAGGCTTATTAGTTAAAAGAAAACGTAAATGGTATGATGCTTTTAATTTCATTTAGACATTGCAAATGTGATGCTGCGTCAAAATTGCGATTCATTAAGTGTGGGTAGGGAAGGTAGAAGGAGGCTTATTGCAGGCGTTGAGTCACAATTACGTGGCTGAAGTATGTTGACCAGACCACACACTAGAAGTTGAAGGGACGACGACGTTTCGGTCCGTCCTGGACCATTCTCAAGTCGATTGTGAATGGACAATCGACTTGAGAATGGTCCAGGACGGACCGAAACGTCGTCGTCCCTTCAACTTCTAGTGTGTGGTCTGGTCAACAGGAGGCTTATTGCTGCCTTCTCTGTACTGCATAGAGGAAAGGTCTGAAAGGTCCCCATTAACGTGAAAATAATATTAGTGCTGGTACTATTTTATTGTTATTCTCCGCCTCTTCATAACGACTTGATTTACTCTTAATCCGAACCTTTATGGTTTATTAGAATGACCTGGTTAGCTCATAACGACCTGTTTAGCTCATAACGACCTAGCCAGCTCATAACGACCTGTTTAGCTCATAACGACCTAGCCAGCTCATAACGACCTAGCCAGCTCACATAACGACCTAGCCAGCTCATATAACGACCTAGCCAGCTCATATAACGACCTAGCCAGCTCATATAACGACCTAGCCACCTCATATAACGACCTAGCCAGCTCATATAACGACCTAGTCACCTCATATAACGACCTAGCCAGCTCATATAGCGACCTGACTCTTATAACAACTACTTTTCTGATTCCAGAAAACGAGACATTAGACTCATAAGAACCACTGCCTCTCCTCACAGACTCATAATAGCGACTCGAGAAATAGAGACCTATACAGCAGTGTTAACGAATCTGTGTTAACGAATCTGTGTTAACGAATCAAAACAGCTTCCACCGGCCACGGTTTTCAGTGTTCAACGAAGTTATATTTAGGATGTTGACTGTCATTGCCTTGATCGTTAAATCTATATTGTTAAAGCTTCCGCCTGTTTTACGACTGTCGTTCTAATAATAGTGAATAATAACATTGTATAATAAATTGTACATGTTGTCAGTATGGAGATATAAAATAATTAAAGCGAGATTGCTGAGGACCCTTGGGTCGGGTACAGCAGGGGAGGGGGGGATTACTGTTGATGTTCCCAGTTCCCGAGATTGTGTTCTGTGTTCCTCAGAGGTGTTCTGTGTTCCTCAGAGGTGTTCTGTGTTCCTCAGAGGTGTTCTGTGTTATCTTGATACTCAGGTCTCCTGGGATATGTTACAGACTCTTATGAAGTGATTTTGCGTCTGCTGTGTAAACATTCCGTTCTCTGTGGAGATGCTCCGTTCTCTGTGGAGATGCTCCGTTTTCTGTGGAGATTCTCCGTTCTCTGTAGAGATGCTCCGTTCTCTGTGGAGATGCTCCGTTCTCTGTTGGAGATGCTCCGTTCTCTGTAGAGATGCTCCGTTCTCTGTGTAGATGCTCCGTTCTCTGTGGAGATGCTCCGTTTTCTGTGGAGATTCTCCGTTCTCTGTAGAGATGCTCCGTTCTCTGTGGAGATGCTCCGTTCTCTGTTGGAGATGCTCCGTTCTCTGTAGAGATGCTCCGTTCTCTGTGGAGATGCTCCGTTTTCTGTGGAGATTCTCCGTTCTCTGTAGAGATGCTCCGTTCTCTGTGGAGATGCTCCGTTCTCTGTTGGAGATGCTCCGTTCTCTGTAGAGTTGCTCCGTTCTCTGTGGAGATGCTCCGTTCTCTGTTGGAGATGCTCCGTTCTCTGTAGAGATGCTCCGTTCTCTGTGGAAATGCTCCGTTCTCTGTTGGAGATGCTCCGTTCTCTATGAAGATGCTCCGTTCTCTGTAGAGATGCTCCGTTCTCTGTGGAGATGCTCCGTTCTCTGTGGAGATGCTCCGTTCTTTGTGGAGATGTTCCGTTCTCTGTGGAGATGCTCCGTTCTTTGTGGAGATGCTCCGTTCTCTGTGGAGATGCTCCGTTCTCTATGGAAATGCTCCGTTCTCTATGGAAATGCTCCGTTCTCTGTGGAGATGCTCCGTTATCTGTGGAGATGCTCCGTTCTCTGTGGAGACTCTGTTCTCTGTGGAGATTCTCCGGTCTCTGTGGAGATGCTCCGTTCTCTGTAGAGATGCTCCGTTCTCTGTGGAGATGCTCCGTTCTCTGTGGAGATGCTCCGTTCTCTGTTGGAGATGCTCCGTTCTCTGTAGAGATGCTCCGTTCTCTGTGGAGATGCTCCGTTCTCTGCGGAGATGCTCCGTTCTCTGTTGGAGATACTTAATTCAACTCCTTTTGACCATGTCGAAGCTCAGTCGATTAAGGCAGCGTCTGGGATGCTCTCGGACGCAGGTTCGAATCCTCGTCACGGCCCTTGTGGATTTGTTCATTTGATGCATCACGCAATTGTGATTTCTGTGTGTAATCCTTAATTCTCTGTTGAAGATGCTCAGTTTTCTGTGGAAACATCTCCATCACTGTCTATGTGTAAAATTATCCATGGTAGTATTTCGCCTTAAGTTGATATGCTGTGCGGCGATATTTTGTGTTCGGTGGAGGCGCTGCTTTCTCCGTGGAGGTACAGTGTGCTACGTGGAGAGAAGTGAGCGTTGGATGCCCCAGGAGGAGGAGGAGGAGGAGCGTGCGCCAACTCTCTCCCCCACTCTCGTGTAAATATATCGTGTCTCCTGTCCCACTCTCCTGCACTAGTTATTTCCCCTGACGTTAGAGGACGCTGGCTGGGGAGGGTGGATGATGCATGTGCGCTAGCTACCTCCTGCCCACACGGTCTCATGCTCACATGCTCCACCTCATGCTCACATGATTCTCTCCACGCCCACAAACGCACACTCCCTCTCCACGCCCATACACCCACATACCTTTCTCACGCCAAGGCACATTTTCACCACGCCCAAATACTTCTTCATCACACACATACACACACCTGAAAAATACCCGCAAGCCAACACACCTACAAACCTACCAGCCAACACACCCATACACACCTACCAGCCAACACACCCTCACACTACCAGCCAACACACGCACACACCTACCAGCCAACACACCCACACACACCTACCAGCCAACACACCTGGAGAATCATAACACCCATATGCTTGAAATGAGAGGAAGGTCACTACTGATCAGGTAGTTGTGCATGCAGTGTGAAAGACGATGTCTTATGGAACCACATAACGGAGGAAGTATATATTTTCTACGGGCTCACCATAGCCCGTGCTGCTTGGAACTTTTTGTTCCAAGTAGCGAATGTTGTACACCAACAAGAACGGAGGGAGGGTGAGATAAGGGGCAGAGGAGGCAGAAGTTCCAAAGGGAGTTAGAAAGAGGAGAGGAGCGGGATGTGATAGAGGAAAGGAGAATGGAGAAGACCTGGACAAGAAAGGTAAAAGTAAGGAACAAGTAGTGGAATATGAGAGGACATGAAAATGGGTTTGTATAAGGGGAAAGAAACGTAAAAGAGGATAGGGATGAGAAAGGTCGGGATGGTATAAGGTGGGTGAAAAGGGAGGTGCAAGGATTAAAGGGAAGGCAGGATAAGCTAGAGGAATGGCAGGATAGGGGGGGGGGATAGTAGAGAACTATCAGGAGAAAGCGCCTAGCACTTGGAAGGGATCAGGTAAGGGGGGGAACAAGTCTTAAAAAAGCTATGTTTATTATTATAATAATAATAAGAAGAATAATTATTAATTATTATTATGTTAATGTTTTATTAGTCGTGTAATCACATTTTTGGGGTTTTGAATTACTTATCATTGCTGTTGACATTGTTAAGACGTAATGTTGATAATTTCTTATATTTTGCCCGTTGTTTATCGACATCCTAATCCTGCCCATGCGCAGTTCCTGCCACGAGGCTCCATGGGAGGGTATTAATGGAAAGAAATATTAGCATGATTTTTTTTTACCTGCAACCCACGTTGTTTGTTAATATTAATTTGGTTTATATACTTTTTTGTAACTGTTTTTTCATCCTTGAAAATAAAATCAATTTTTTTGTTTTGGTGTCCTTCAGCCCTATGACTCTCCTTTGTTTTGTCTCTGAACCAAGTGTGTTGTGAACCGAGTGTGTTGTGAACCGAGTGTGTTGTGAACCGAGTGTGTTGTGAACCGAGTGTGTTGTGAACCGAGTGTGTTGTGAACCGAGTGTGTTGTGAACCGAGTTGTGAACCGAGTGTGTTGTCAACCGAGTGTGTTGTGAACCGAGTGTGTTGTGAACCGAGTGTGTTGTGAACCGAGTGTGTTGAGAATCAAGTGTGTTGTGAACCGAGTGTGTTGTGAACCGAGTGTGTTGTGAACCGAGTGTGTTGTGAACCGAGTGTGTTGTCAACCGAGTGTGTTGTGATGGTCGACTCTGGGTGTCCTCACACACTCACCATATCTGTCCATCTTATAGCCTTCCTCTCTTACCCTCATCATATTTACTAGAACACAATCTATTTACCCTTGTTTCATGCTTCGTGCCTTCAGTATGACTATAAAACATCCCAACACCCTTTCCAAAATGTTTCGACTTACCGACGTTTTACTTATCGTCTTTCCACTCTCATTTTCATTCCTTGTTCGATCTCCATGAACTAGTATAGGTTATAGTCTGAACGAACGTTTTCCGAATGAGCGTATTCAGAACGAACGCAGCATCCCTTTCTGATCCAATAATTCTCGCTGTTTTCCATCCCTTCCGTCTTATCTTGGATGTGACAAAGGTTAGTAATTGCCAAGGAATTTTTTTTTTGACGCTGGGTAAAGATTGCTTGTGAGTATTTTTAAAGACCAGTTCTTTTGCAACGCCGGTGGGTGAGAAAATGGTGGGTTTTTTAATGTTCCATATTCTCGCTTTAAAAGTGAAATACGATTTTTTTTCTCGCTGCGGCAGGTAAAGGCTCGCTTTGTCTCGTAGTCTCGTTCGCTACGAGACATAGCGTGTGTTGCTCTCTTGTTTTTCTCTTTTATGGTTTTGTTTTGGTCTCTCCCTAATTTTTTTTTTCGATTAGAATTATGTTTCTATTGTTCTGTCAATATCTATATTTCTTTCTGCCTAAATAGAAGCAGCATAGAAAAGGCCAACTTTTAAATCCTTTTGATCTTATCCTAAAATATTAAACAATGAAGCAACTTGCTTCAGTACTGACGACATGTTGCTAAAACACTAGAGTGAAAGTTCCTCTTCCACTCGGTCAGTACGGCATCAGTAACCTGTTATTACGGCCCAAGACACACTCTAACAGTGAGACAATGACAGACATACATTAACAGAGAAAATGACAGACACACGTCAGTGAGAATGACAGATACAGTAACAGAGAAGTCAGGGACAATAATAGACAGAGACGCTAACAAACAGAGACGCTAACAGTCAGACACACACACAGTCAGTTTCTCTCTTTCCCAAACTAACACGGCTATATTCAATAATTACGAGCTGATTATGGAACACAAATGGGAACAGATGTCTAAACTACTTACGAATCTCATCTAAGGGGAGATATAATCCTCTTTAAAGGTATTTAACTTTACTATTAGCTCTCCAAATGCTGCCCAGAGTGTTTAAGCTTAAATAAGTTTCTAGAAGCCTCATTTCGCCTCTGTATGCAGTATTGAGCATTTAATCCATTAATTACTAATGCTAATTCAAAATAAACTATTGCTTGATTAATTAAATTTTCTGTACTATTTGTATTACACTCTTCATTCGGTAACCTTTAAAAAATGTTAATTTTTTTTTATTCAGTTTTAGAGTGATTTTTTCACTTTTCTTAGAATCAAGAAAGTAGGTTTATAGTCTCTAACTTCTTCAATTGTTATAGTTTTAATGAAATTCTCCATGTTTGGAAATAATGGAATTCTGAAACCCATATCTAAGTACTTTAGGGAATACAAGAGGGTCGGGAGGTTCTCTTCTATCACCAAATATCATTTTGGGAAGAAAGGTGGGCCATTGGGGCCACCTACACCCATCATCATAGAGCGTGAGTGGAGGAGAGCCATGGAGGCCCCTCAACCCTTCACCACATGGGGTAAGTTAAGGGACAGCCAGTAAAGTCCCTGCGCCCTTAACCATAGAGGTAGGGCCAGTGGACCCACTACCCCGTCACCAAACACGTCAGGGGACCTTTGGGGCCCCAGCAACACTGGTAAGTTTCACCAGTATGTAAATGTCTGACTGATCTAATTTTGAGCGTTAATTGGGCTCACCTCAGCTCCCGGCAGCAACATGATAAATATGAAACAGCCAATCTGCATAAGTAATGCTAAAAGTTTCTTCACTCTAAGAAACAGGATTTAACATTCAAGGCGCTTTGGGAATGAGGAGACACGCTGAAGGATAAACGAAAGAAGTATAGTCTATAAAGTATGAATATGATGCAGTAAAGGAAAAAGCTGGATAGTTGAACGGACAGTATACAGAGAGTCAGATTTGTGCGTGTATTGGGTATATATATATTGACCATTAACAACACTATGCTTTAATGGGTGCCATTGATCAATGCTTTGCTATGTAATTACTACGTATAGCAACCTCTTTTTACACGAAGACGACTGTAAATCATATTGATGAGATTTACATTTAAATTAATTTGTCAGAAAACAAAAACATTGTGAGAATACTTAAAACTGACTCAAGTCACACATGAGTTTATATGTGCCGGACAACTTTAATTGAATTCGACCTTATTACAGCTGTCAGCGAGACATGTGCTCGTCTTGTCACTAATGTTAGACACCCGCACATTGCAACTTCTATAACGATTGATATAATTGCAAACTGAGAAGTTGTATATATATGGTAGCTCCTTTAGCATCTATTCTGATGTTTACCAGACCATACACTAGAAAGTAAAGGGACAACGACGTTTCGGTCCGTCTTGGATCATTCTCAAGTCGATTTTCACAATCGACTTGAGAATGGTCCAAGACGGACCGAAACGTCGTCGTCCCTTCACTTTCTAGTGTGTGGTTTGGTTAACATATTTCAGCCACGTTATTGTGACTCCTCGTCTGCATCTATTCTGATAATCTTGAATTTGGGACACCATTACACAGGTACAACTTCTGGTTTCAACTCTTTTTGACCATGTCGTAGCTCAGTCGATTAAGGCAAGCGTCTGGGATGATCTCGGACATAGGTTCGGATCCTCGTCACGGCCCTTGTGGATTGGTTTTTTGGGACACCATAAATATGCATGGTTAGCTGTGTCTTGCAAGCTTTCTCTCCCATGGTATGTCGCCATCTGCATAAATACTGTACCTCTATACTCTTCCTATTCCCAAGAACTGTCGAACATCTACGTCTTTATCTGGTAATTATATTGCTGAGGAACTAACTCGTAGACAACCTGCCCTTGCCGAAGAACTTGTAAGTAAACAACTTGCGCTTGTTGGAGAACTAGCTGTTAAAAACTAGTTTGTTAAAAATGTTAACAAACATTTTCGTATCACTGATCTGACGTAAAACTGATAATATATCGGTCTAATTAGCCTGATCAAATATATATTTTTTACCCCCATCGGAATGTTTAATTCAGAAGCTTAGGCTCACCTATCTTTACAAAATTTAACTTTTACAAGTTAATATTACTGTTAATAACTAGCCTGATCACAAATTATCCTGTGTATATATATTCCTAGTCAGTATATGTTCCCAAGCAAACTGACTTGCCAATGTTTTAATCTATTCAGAATGTTTATTAGCATTAAAAATAAATCCTATTTGGATCATTACCAAATAAGTATTTATCTAAGTACAGAGGTGTAACAATTATTATAACCCAGTCTCAGACGTTCCAGGTTCGTATCTTCCAAGTGATGGAATGATATTTAATCTCAATGTTAACAGTGTGATTGTAATATCACCAACTTCTCTTAAACAAAGTCAAATGATCTTGTTAAAGGTCAGTATAATTAAGGTATGAATAATTTGTTTTCATTTTGTTTGGTGTAATAAATAGATGACGCTCCACCTTCACCTCACGGAAGTAACCATACTCACTTGACTCACTGCACCTCACAGGAGTAACCATACTCACTTGACTCACTGCACCTCACAGGAGTAACCATACTCACCTGACTCACTGCACCTCACAGGAGTAACCATACTCACTTGACTCACTGCACCTCACAGGAGTAACCATACTCACTTGACTCACTGCACCTCACAGGAGTAACCATACTCACTTGACTCACTGCACCTCACAGGAGTAACCATACTCACTTGACTCACTGCACCTCACAGGAGTAACCATACTCACTTGACTCACTGCACCTCACAGGAGTAACCATACTCACTTGACTCACTGCACCTCACAGGAGTAACCATACTCACTTGACTCACTGCACCTCACAGGAGTAACCATACTCACTTGACTCACTGCACCTCACAGGAGTAACCATACTCACTTGACTCACAGCACCTCACAGGAGTAACCATACTCACTTGACTCACTGCACCTCACAGGAGTAACCATACTCACTTGACTCACTGCACCTCACAGGAGTAACCATACTCACTTGACTCACTGCACCTCACAGGAGTAACCATACTCACTTGACTCACTGCACCTCACAGGAGTAAATGTACATGACTCATTTCACTTCATATGAGTAACTATCCGTGACTCACTTCACCTCCCAAAATGAGGTTAGGTGAGTCATGTTCATGAGACTCATGAGGTGAATTAAATTTGATTTTAAATACCTTTCATACCGCCAATTACAGCCCCGCTCTTGTACCAGGTAAGTCCACGACAGCACGGGCTCACCATAGCCCGTGCTGCTTGGAACTTTTGTTCCAAGTAGCGAATCTTAAACAACAACAACAACCTCTCATACAATATATAACAGTGTGATTTATCAACGAGAAGAAACAGCTAATTCAAGGCAAACAGTTTCTTAAATTCAGGGTTAGAGAAATACAGATCCGGTTTCAACAGTATTACCGAGTTTAATTAGTATAACACGATATTAATGTCGTGATATGTAGCTGAATGCCAAAGTGACATTTTTTGTGTATGGAATTCAGTGCCACTCATTTTCAACTTTATGAAAGAAACGTTCACATTTATAGCTGGGGAAAAAAGAAGAATGTGCTGTTAAAGGTTTAAGATATAATATTGCAAAGGTTTAACTTTACTTGAGTTTATCCTACGCTATGTCAAGCAATTCCCCGTTTTCTGTAGTTGGAGTCAAAACTAATGCTCCATTTTCTTTAGTTATGATGGTTGTTTCTCTTGAAAATTAGGTAATAATCATAGCTTTTTAGGGCTCCACGCAGACGAGAGAACGGCTTTAAAAGCATTTAAAAGCACAGCACAAACATTTGCAGCTTATTCTCCTTTTAGAGGCTGGAGCAAACATTTCATTTTGCATTTTTGGGTAAACAGAGCTAACCC